TATTGTTTCCTGTATGTGCATGTGTGTAGGACCATATACTGGAGCATGGATAGCCTTGCAAGGACCACATCCCTGAGGAAAACTCCATCTCTCTCCCTGCTCCATGCTGGGATTTTGTTAGGCTTGACCTTGCTCGGGTCTTGTGCACATAGTAGCAGCCACTGTGAGTCGTGCTGTGTCCAGCAAATACTGTTTCACTGCAGAAGTTCTGACTCTTGGTCTTCCCACCCCCTGTTCTATAATGGTCTGTGAGAAAGGGGCAAGATAATCTCCATGTAAGAGACTTCATCTGTGACGTTGGTCACTACTGAACTCAGATCTGCGGAAGCGCTGAGACTCTGTGAAGGTTGACAGGCTTCAGGCTGAGGAAATAACAATGTGCCTCCAATTTGGTGAAGCGAGGTGTTTGAGCCTGCTCTCCTGTGAACTCAACTAGGCATCATCAGGTCTTTGCTGAAGAATAATGTGAGCATTTCCCCAGAATTTCTCATCTGTGGTTTGTAGCAGGGATCTTAGGTAAGTGTTAGGGCAAAATAGAAGTCTTCCACCCAGACAAAACTGAATGGTCCCAGTTTTCATGTCAGCCAGAACCTTCAGTATGAAAAAGAAGGAAATCTTGATTGCTGTGATTAATAAGTATCTGAAAATAAGAGCAGAAATAGGTTGTTAACACTTAGTATAAATGTAATTAACTTGAAACGCAACTATGTCACTATAGTGGTATGTTATTTGTGTTTTAATAAATAAAACTTGCCTCAAGATCAGAAGGCAAAGCAGCCACACTAGTCAGTCATACAGGCCAGGTGGTGGTGGCACAATCCTTTAATCCTAAATCTTGGGACACAGAGGCCAAGAGATCTTTGTGATTTCAAGGGCATCCTGGGCTACACAGACAGAATCTGTCTACAAATCCCTACCTGAAGAGCACTGTGAGTATGCAGCCCCAGTCCACCTGCGTTTGTGAAGTCATCACCAAACTATACCGGTCCTAAAGCAAGCATGAAATAGCAAAGAGTCATTTAGACGGCGTCATCATCATGAGGGACACATCTTTGCCATCACACTTTAAATCCTTGGTTCAGTATACTGTGATATAGAAGCTGTGGTGACCTGGATCTGAACTGTCTCCAGTGGCCATGGATACCAACCTACGGCAACGCTGGGAGAAGGGAGGTACTTTAGGAGGTGGGGCTGGTGGGAGGGACTTGGTGTCTGGAGATGTGTCCCGGAAGGGGGTGTCTTGTCTCTGCTCCTCCCTCGCTCTGCTTTCTGGCTGCTGTAAGGTGAGCAGCCTTGAGCCTCACGTACCCTGCTTTATTAAAGGTCCAGAATCAACAGAATAAATTCACACTATGGGCAGAAGCCTCTGAAACCGTGAAGCAGAAAAGCCTTTCTTCCTTTAACTTGATTTTCTTAGGGATTTTTGTCATGGCAATGGAGAGCTAACAAAACAGGGCTGGGATCAATTGATTTTGAAACTTTATTTTAATGGGAGTTTTTATCAGGAAAAAAGAGAGACTGGCTTAGTAAATACAACATAAACATTTTCAAAAAAAATATGTGCATTTAAAGCATTTAGTCTCTAGAAGTCCATCCTCTCCCCTTATGCAAAATATAGTAATTCTATTCCAGTAACCTCAATTCATTAGCATCAACTCTGAGAACTAAAGTCCCAACTTGCAGGTATCACCTAAGTAAGACTGGATGAGGCTCAACATAAGATGTCATGTGGAACAAATACCTCTCTAACTCAATGTGTGACTAAGTGAAACCATGCAAGTTACACACAGTAAGACAGCGATGGGTCTGACCCACCTTTCCTGTTACATGCAGTGAGAAAATGACAGGCCTGACCCACCTTGCCTGTTATATGCAGTAAAACAGTGGTGGGCATGATACACCTTGCCCCAGATTCTATTGCTACAAAGACTGTGTGGTGGTTTGAAAGAAAATGGCCCCCAAAGGAAGTGGCAATATTAGGAGGCTTGGCTTTGCTGGAGTACGTGTGGCCTTGTTCAAGGAAGTGTGTCACTATGGGGTGGACTTTGAGGTCTCCTGTCCTCAAGCTACTCTCAGTGTGGTACACATTTCACTTCCTGTGGCCTGAAGATCAAAATGTTGAGCCCTCCGCTCAACTTTCTCCAGCACCATGTCTATCTACATGCAACCATGTTTCCCTCCATGAAGATAATGGACTAAACCTCTGAACTCTAAGCCACCTCATTAACTGTTTTCCTCTATAAGAGCTGCTGTGGTCATGGCGTCTCTTCACAGCAATGGAAACCCTAAAACAGGCTGAGATGAAGGACTGCTGTGGGAGAATATTCTGCTTCTTCAGCCAATAACCTTTAAGATACCAGCCCACTTGGGCGTGGTCTCTTATAGTTTAGAAAGCAGCGGGAACCATGCACCTGCTCTCTTGCTTCTGAGTTTGGAGTCTTTAATGGGTGGGAATAGGGCATCATAAGGTCTCTCGTGGCTACTTCCTGCTGATTTTGTGGGCATTGGAGAGTTGAGATGCTTGACCGTGTACTGAAGTGGCTGATTACTTTTGTGTTTTTTCCAGGCTCTGTGGAACTGGCTGGCTGGCAGCACAGACCACACAAGATGCTGGAAAGGCAGAGAATTATGTCTGAAAAAAATTTTAGATCCCAGTGGTTAAGGGAGGAGAGGCCAACGATGAAAGATAGAGGGGTTTTGGGCGGGGTGGAGGAGGGAATTTCCCAGGGGTTCCTGAGACCAGGAATGATAAGGGAAGAATTAAATGATACTTATTCTTGGCAAGTCTGGTCTGTTTAGATAGGTCCAATTGGCTCCCTGGAGCTTATGAAGAAATGTTTGAAAAGAAATAAATTTTAGGCATATTAAAAGCTTATGATTATGATGGTATAGTGTTGGAATGGAAGACGGTGGGAGGAGGAGGAAAAGAAGAGGGAATAATTAGAAAGGGGAACTATTAGACCCCTTAATATTTTACCTGAAGAAAACCTTAAGGCCCTTGTTCTCCTTAGCATCATGGTTTTACCTTGACATCCAGGAGACACTGCTGCAGCCAGTGATAAACCTGTAATGTTAAACTCACTTTTGTGAGTTTTTGGAGTTTGGGGCTGTGAATGTCTCCAAACTCGTTATTGTTTCTTACCACCTGGGATTTTGGCAATCCTTGTACCTCTGGCTTTATGTTTAATGATGGTCCCTGTAATAACGGCTGAGTGGTCAACTCGAAATTTAAGTATGACACTGAAGATATAGAGAAGTTGGTAAAGCAGAGAGGAGGAAGAGGACGAGGGAGAGTGTGTGGAGTTTTGGGCACAGGAGACTTGAGTACGGTGATGAGACTTTCATTTTTCTGGAACTGGAGGAAAAAGTGGCTGATCCTGGTGCCCTCTGGGACTTAAGGGAGCAGGGCGCTGTTTGAGTTACCATATATGGGGGAGGATCTTGAGCTGGAAGAGTAGAAGGTTTAAGATGGGACAGGTGGAGCCAATGAGAGTCCCTCGAAGCTTGGCAGCTGTGGGAGTTACAAGAATTACTTTAAAGGGGCCCTGCCATTTAGGGGAAAGGGGTGAGGGGTGTTGATCTGGAGGAGAGAACAGCACCTGATCCCCTATTTTAATCAGTGGTGGGCATGAATTGGCACATGGTTGAGGTAATGAGTAGTTGGTAAAATCCCACAATAGTGAGCGAAGAGGGGGTAACAGAGGAGTAACCAGGTGATCAGGAAGGGGAGAGGTTTTAGGTGAGAGGCCAGGGATTAAAATCAGCCGCCCATACATGAGTTCAAAGTATATATATATCCACTATAGCTTGTCCTTGAGGATTATAAAATATTCCTATTTTATGAGAAATAGAGAAGTCAGAGCAAAATTTAGCAAAGCCAGTGCTGGCATAGGCTGGCCTGTTGTCAGTTTTTAGAGTTTTTGGAACTCCCAAGTAAGCAAAAGCCTGGAGACAGTGACTTTTAACATCCCATAATTTTTCTCCAGTATGGACTGAGGCAAAAATAAGATGAGAATATGTATCTACAGTTACATGAACATATTGCATATATCCAAAAGAAGGAACATGGGTAACATCCATTTGCCATAAATGATTAGGAGCAAGCCCAAGAGGACTAACTCACAAATGAGGAACAGCTAAAAGTTCTGTACACAGAGAGCATTTTTTTAAACAATATCAGTGGCTTGCTCTCAAGAAGAAGACCCATCAGTAAACACATTCTGTGCCTCTGCCAGAGGATGTAAAGAAATAACTTTAGGGAAGCATACTGGATGATTTTTGAAAAAGGTGACCAACTTATCAGAAAGGTAAGGATTATCAAACCTGCAGGGGTTAGTGCATTTAGAAAAGGCCCTATATTCAGCAAAATTTTGCAGCCAAGTTATTTATGCCTGGGTATATGGTGTAATAACTTTATCAGGTAGCATTCCACAGTGAAAACAAATCCTTAACCTAGCTCCAATTTGACTCCCCCTAAGGGCAGAAACAATTACTTGTCCCATCAAATGAGTGCCAAAAATGTCCCTGCAGATCCAGATATAGTCATTCAAACTCCACTTCTGTGGGTTCCAACACACCTCCTAGTCCTTTCTAAACAGTTCCACCTGCTAGGAAACAAACATTCAAAAGTATGAGCCCATGCAGGGCATTCTCAGTCAAACTAATGTTCACTATTCTAAACATTTGATTTATAACTTTCAAGTGTGTGAGTTTGCAGTTTCATAGGTAACTACTTTGGGGGTTAAAGTTTTGATGTTTGAATGCAGTGTTTCCTCAGCCTTACCACCATCTCTGATAGTCTTTCTTCTACTTGGTGGAATCTACTAGTGATGTTTTCCATGGTGTTTTTTTTTTTTTTTAACTGATTGATCCACCTGGTCATTTCCAGCATTTAGTTTAGTTTTCCTTGCTGAATCTCTTTCGTTTTGCTGGCTTCATCAGTTTTGCTGATTTTCTCATCTGGTTTTGCTGCCTTGTCTCTATGTTGCTGTATTCTTTGTCTGGGTCATGGATTGGTTTCTTCATTCATTTAGTTCCATTTATCCTCGATGAGGTCACTGATTTCCTGGACCCTCAGTTGATGTTTTACTCATGTCGATGCCTTTGGATTCTGAAACTCAGGGTTTGTGATCATTGGGATATCTCTTCCAGTTTTGGGAAAGGATCTTCTACATTTGGTGGGCTTCCCTCCCGGCAGTTCCATACTGCAAACCCACACGGCGGAAGGATAAAACTGACAGGTGTGTAGCTGGACTCATTCTCGCTGACTTCCTTCTGTTCTGGTGCTTTGCCCCTCAGTTTCTCTGTACTTTTCAGGTGTCCTAGCATCCCTTTCATGGATGTCCAAAGTTTCTATGATCTTTCTCTCTATTTCTATAGAATCTGCCATTTCTTACCCTTCACACTTCATCAGGTCACCCTGAGATGACTGCTGACCCATCATCTTACCCAAACCTATCTACAGGTAACTCCCAGGGAAATTTCAGTAACAAAATGATTTCTAAACATTTGTTTTCAAATGCTTTTCTTCAGTTATGGAGTTTTTCTTCCTTTGTGATTGTATTAGTCAGGGTTTGCTAGAGAAACAGAACTGGTAGAATGGTAGAAACACACACATAATACACACACACACACACACACACACACACATATATATATATATATATATATTAGACTGGCTTACAGGGTGTGTCTGACTATTCCAACAATGGCTGTATTCCAACAGGAGGCCCAAGAATCCAGTAGTGGTTCAGTCCACTGCTGGCTCTCTCAGCTGGTCTTCAGTATATGCCAGCATTCCAGAGCAGTAGGCTTTAATGCCAGTGAAGGAATGAACGTGCCAATGAGAGTGAGAGCAAGCAGACAAAGGGCAAGAGCGTCCTTCTTCCTTGTTCTTTCCGTAGGCTGCCAGCAGAAGGTGTGGCCCAGATTTAAGGTGGGTCTTCTCACTTTGAGTGATCCAATCAAGAAAAGCCCTCACAAGTATGCTCAGCAGCTTGGGTTTTAGTTCATTCCAGATGTAGTTCAGTTGAGAACCAAGAATGGCCATGGCAGAGGTTAAACCATTATCTACCTTGACGCAACAGACTGTGTGTTTGTCTTTGGGAAACATTTGCTGGTTGGTACAGCAAATGTGTCCTCACCAGTGAGGTCAGGAGCTTTGTGACCTTTGCTGTTTGGTCCTTTGTTTGTTTGTCATTACTCTTTCCAACCTCCTTGCTCTGGAGTAAGATGAAATTGAGCAGAAGAGCTTTTGAGTTCATTTCTTCTCTTTCCACATAGCCTTTGTAATTGGGTTCTGCGCTAGGTGGTAACACACAGGGCATAGTGAACACAGCGCAGCACTGATGCTAAGCTGTCCTGTGTCCTTCAGGTGTAGTCAAGGTTCTCCAGAGAAGCAAATCCGATAGGTGTTTGTGTGTGAGGGAGCACGGTGGGTGTTAACTGGCTTGTGAGGCTACGGGTTCTGCCAGCCCAAACTTTGCAGAGTAGGGCAAGATAGAACTTCCAGGAGGAGTTTGGATTACTGTGTTGAGTTTAAAAGCAGTCTAGAAAGAGAATTCAGCAATCACTGGAAGGAACCTTGGTTCTTTTGCTCTCTCTCTCTCTCTCTCTCTCTCTCTCTCTCTCTCTCTCTCTTAAAGCTTTAAGTTTATTAGATAGGGCATACATATGTTATGGGATAATTGGCCATCAAGCTCTTTCATTCCAGCAGGCTCCCAGGAGCAGCAGGGATACCCTCCACTGAGGTTTTGTCCTGGACTGTCCAAGGACTGCCTAGGAGACGAACCCAGGAACACCTGGGTTAGTAGTTTAATGACCCGAATCAGTGATTGGGAACATGGTTCTTTTCTGAGAACCTGTTCTTGGCCTGAGACCATACCGACGAGCTAGACAGATGAGATCTTGCAAAACTTATGTTCTGGTAGGTGAGAGTTTCAAAGTCTACAGATCAAACTCAGCTATGTGACCCAGAAGAGCAAGAGACCTATGAGGAAAGAGAGGGCCTTAGAGCTGGGTCTTTAGAGCCCACACATTATTGGCAAATTCTGAAAGTTGTTGAAAGTACAATTTAATGAATCCTGTTGAACTACTTTCTAAAAATATAATAACAAAAAATTCTTTTTGCGCAATCAACTCATAGACTACTTCTTATGGCTTTCTATTCTATTCTGAGACAGTGCCATGTTGTCTTGATTCCTCCATAGTTTATAAGTATTTTATTTCTCTTTTAGCTCAGTTTTTTTTAATGAGTGAGTGTGCGTGTATGCGCATATTTGTGTGTGTACCATATGTGTTTCTAGTGCCAAAGTAAGCCAAAAGAGACTATTAGGCCCTCTGAAACTGGATACAGACAGTATTGAATTGGCATATGGGTTCTGGGAAGCAAAGTGGGCCCTCTGAAAGAGCAGCAAGCACTCTTAACTGCTGAGCGAGCTCTCCAGTTCCAAGTATTTAAATGTTTAAAGCTACTAACCAGAATGGTTGTATAAAATGCAGTTATATGCCCTGAGTTTTAAAGTATCTAACATAAGAGTACATCATTGAAGAGACCTAGAAGATAAGAATAAACAATTATAGCATTTTTCTGACATTCAGCAGCACAAAATTATTTCATGCCTTAAAAACAACAGTGGTATTGATTCTATATGCAGAACCTCCAAATTAATTAGAAACTTAAAATAATTGGTATCAGGTACTTTTTTTGACATTTTTCAGTTTATTTTAATGTATACATAATGATACACATTTACAAGATTTACAGATTATGTCATACAAACTGAGACATTGCACACACAGGATAATAGGAACTTTAATGGCCCTTTTCCCATCTTCCACTTTAAAAACACACTTACATCTACCCAATCATATACCCAGCCACTCTGAACAAATAAATTCTCTAATCAATGGCTTCCCTTGGGAGAATCCTGTTGTTGCCTTGAGAAGACTTTTTCTCCATAAACTGCTAATTAACTTGTTTTTTTAAGGTTTCAAGCAGGAGCTATACAAGACAAAGCAGTCTGATACAGTCAAGCCTACAGCCAGAGGAAAGTAAGAAGACACATGAACACTGTGAGTCTCAGCATTGCAAGCTCTTGCACACTACATGCTGGTAACACAGATGCTCTGTGTGTAACTCAGAATCTGGTTTGAGTTCTGCAGCCCTTTGCCTTCAGTTAAAAATAGATGCAAGCCTGCCAGAATTCTCCAAGAGAGATGGGTGTAGCAAGATTCACTCAGAGGGAGGAAACAGCAAGCTGCCTTGACACGACACCTTTTTTTACTTCATCCGTACATTGAAACATGGAGTCCAGTACTTTGAAACCGGTTAGTAGCCAAACATTAGGAAATACAAAGTTCTGTTCTTCTTTTCACAGGACACTAACAACCCTTGCCTCATCCTGTCTTTCTAATTATCTACGAAAATGACATATGTGTGCTGTTCCAAGTATGTCTCTGAGACAAATCTCAGTCAAGGTCATGTGAACCCACAGAGGAAGTTCCAATGACAAAGTGTTCGGTGGAAAAGACTGAGCTGGGATGAGACTAGTTTATCCCCTTTTCTACAAGTTCTTCTGCACACAGATACTTAGTGATGGCAGGAACTTCAGAGCTCTGGTTCTTATCGTCAGAGCCCCTTTCTGTAGGTAGGTGGCTGTCCTAGTGACTTCTCTATTGCTATGATGAAATATCATGACTAAGACCGCTTAGAGAAGGAAAGGGTTTATTGGGGGCTTGCATATAGTTTCAGAGGTTGAGACACGACCATCATGGCAGGGTGCATTGCAGCAAGCAAGCAAGCATGGCAGTGGAGTAGTAACTGAGAGCTTAGGTAGTCATCCAAGTGGAATGGTGTTGGGCTTTGGAAACCTCCAAGTCCACACCCAGAGAAATGCCTCCTCTAACAAGGCCACACCTACTCACCCTTCCCAAACAGTTTCCACTAAATGGGGAGCAAAAATTCAAACATGAGTTATGGGGACCATTCTCATTCAAATCACCACAGTGGTTTTCCTTTTTGTTATGTGTTTCCCTTAGCTTGGTAACCAGGCTACAATCCACAGCCCCAGAGAAGCTAGGTAGCAAGGAGGATTCAAAGAGGGATGCATGGATTTCCCTGGGAAGGGGAAGGAGATGAGATCTCCTGGGTAAACTGGGGGTGGATTGGGGGATGGAGAGATGAGAAAATAAGGGATTGAGTTTGTCAGGTTGGGATAGGGACAGAGGGGAAGAGTAATGAAAGGTATATCTCAATAGGGGGACCATTTTGGGGTTAGGGAGTAACCTGGTGCAAGGGAAACTCCCAGGAATCTTCAAGTATGACCCCAGCTATGACTCCTAGCAATAGTGGAGAGGGAGCCTAAACTGACTTTCTCCTGTAATCAGATAGGTGACTACCCTAATTGTCATCAGAGAACCTTCATCCAGTAATTGATGGAAGCAGATGCAGAGATCCATGGTCAAGCACTGGGTTGAGCTCCAGGAATCCAGTTGAAGAGAGGGAGGAGGGATTATATGAGCCAGGAAGATCAAGATCATGACAGCAGCACCCAGAGAGACAACTGACCTGAGCTAGTGGGAGCTCACGGATTTTGGACCAACAGCTAGGGAGCCTGTGTGGGACAAACCTAGGTCCTCTGTGTGTGGATAGTTAAATAAACTATGGTATATTTACACCAGTGAGTTCTATGCATAAACAGTCACTTGGATGACTCCATGATATTACACTGAATGAAGAGGAGCCAACTCCAAAACATTTTTCTTTATGTATTTCCACTTGCCTAACATGTTTAAAATGACTAGGTTTCAGGAATGGAAGACAGATTAGTCATTGCCAAAGCCAGAGGACAGGGAAGAACTCAAGAGCGGAAACATATTTGAGGAGTAGAAAACTTTCTTATGCCTAGCTCAAACTTGGCTCAGTACTAGGGGCCATGAAGACTCTGGAATCTCTCTAAGGAGCTGGGTAACCTTGGGGAGGTGTGTGATGCCTGACGGTTAATTTCAGCACCTCCAGAGCAGGAAAGAGGCTGGGGTTGTTGTTCTCTATAGCACCCATCTTCAGAGGGTCCTCGGATTCCCAAATACTGTCAGAGAAGGTTTAAAAGAGGATCCACTTAACAGCTCTTGTCGGCAGCTAGCATCTAGTCATCACTAGCATAGGACAGGCAAGCAGAACTATCAACCAATTGCTACCTGATTATAAGCCCTGCAAGGATTCTTCCAGCAACCCAAGCAGATTCCTCAGATGCCACTAAAGGCGAAGCAGAGGAACAACTGTACTCTGGCCATCCATCCTTCAGTGTTATTTATGAAGTTCAGACGTGATCTTCAAGAGTCTCGAGATTTGCAGTGTTGGCTTCGCCCTCAACACAACTGTGTTCCATCATTCACGGTTGTCACCATTGTGACTGTCTAGAGGCTGCTGCTAAGGATCCATGAAATGCTCTCTTTCTGGAAGGCCACAGGCCACTTGACCCTGGGCTCGTGTGTTTACAGAACTCCAAGTGCAGCTATTAAAGACATTGCTGCCCATTTACAGACTGACGCTGGTTTGCTTTGTGCCCACATGTCTCTTTAACCTCTGTTTCCTTTGCAGGGAAGAAAGAGAATATTTTCTCTCACTTTTCTTGTTGAAATTCCAATTGCTCCCCCAGAGGGATCTCTCTGAGAAGCCACGGGGAACAAAGGCAAAGGAACTCATACTCTGTTGCTCTCACTGTCTGTTCTAAATATGCATGAAAAATTCTTCTCTTTCCTCCCTGGTCTGGATTTGGCTGAAAGTGTTTGCTGGGTAACAGGAAACCTATGAGAAAATCAGAGGCTTCAGTCCCTTGTGCCCCTCCCAGCCCTCAGATCAAAGACACTTGGGGCTTAAAACTTTTTTAAAAGCTCTAAAATTCAAGATCAGATTTAAAATTCTGAAATCAATATCATATTGCTGTTCTGCTCAATGCTATTTATTCATTTATTTATCTACCTTTTTGAATTTGTAGACAGAGACTTACTACATTACCCTGGCTGGCTTGTTTTTATATAATCATTATACACGTGGCTCATGGCTTTCTTTGAAAACAAGTATTACTGGAAAATGTACATGTTTGCAGATACATAGCATTTTGCATTATGGTTTCAGGGAGTCTCAGGCCAGCTAAACTGCCCTCAGCCAACCTGGGGACGGCAGCTGTGAGTTAGAACTAAAATATTAGGTAATCAAGAGAAGGAAATAGTCAACTAAATATGTAAAGCAAAGAAGTGTCTGTCTTATGCTCCAAAATTCTGAAATAAATAAATATTTATTTATAAATAAATAAATATTGTGCCCCAATATAGAAATAAAAGATTAATTGCAGTGAACTACAGACTGGATTTTTTTTTCAGAAAGATGAAGTCAGAAAAATTCATATTCCAAACACATGTAATGTGATTGCTGAGAAAAGACACATGGCCCAGACATGCTGTACATCTACATGTATATATTGTACATGTATGTACACTCACATGTATGTAATGAGGTTGCTGAGAAAAAACATAGGGACCAGACATGGTGTACATCTACATGTATGTATTGTACATGTATGTACACTCACATGTATGTAATGAGGTTGCTGAGAAAAGACACAGGGCCCAGACATGCTGTACATCTACATGTATATATTGTACATGTATGTACACTCACATGTATGTAATGAGGTTGCTGAGAAAAGACATAGGGACCAGACATGGTGTACATCTACATGTATGTATTGTACATGTATGTACACTCGCATGTATGTAATGGGGTTGCTGCAGAAAGAAAGGCACAGGGTCCTGACATGCACAGGGTCCAGCACTCATAGCTGCTGCAAGAGGACCTGGAAGCCTCCAACAAGGCAATTTTCCAGGACTGGAAGAGGAACCAAACTGGTCATGGACTTCTAAGATCTCCCCAGTGCTGTGAATCAGAGATAATCAGCAGTAGTGTTCCCAGACAGAAAAAGAGAGTGGAGATTCTTGGGCTGTATAATCTGCACAGGACCAGGAAGCTGGTGGTACCCTCAGGATGGAGGAGCATCTCCTTTGGAGTACTGCACCTCAGTTCACAGGCAGTAAAGGAAGGGAGATTGGATGCTCTTAAAGATACACAACCAAAGGGTTATCAATGTCAAAGAGCCACGGGAAGATCCAAACAGCAGTATTATCCTCCAGAATTGATGTCAGAGAACAAAGTAAGATTTCTAATTGTTATTACAATTTAGGCCAGGTGGTGTGGTGCACGCCTTTAATCCCACTCAGGAGGCAGAGGCAGGCAGATTTCTGTGAGTTTGAGGCCAGCCTGGTCTATAAAGAGAGTTTCAGGACAGCCATGGTTGTTACACAAGCGCTGAAGATACAATAGAGGAAATAGACCTTCATACTCAATGTTACCCTGCTGACAGATGGTAGCGGCGCTCCAGGTCTCCTGGACTCCAGGGTAGCACTTTTAACCACTCTGCATTAGTGCTTCAAGTTTACCAAATGCTGTGACCCCGTGCCTGCAGCAGGAAACACTACATGCATGGTCTTGCCTTTCTGAGGAACAAGGACCTCATTGGGGGAAGCACAGAAAATTTTAAATACATAGCTGTGGTTTCTCTTCCACTGAGAGTTAAGTAATTCAGTTCAGTTGATTAAAAAAGAATTCTACTGAGGCTGGAGGGATGATGGCTCAATAGTTAAAAGCACCAAACACTTCCAGAAGATCTGGACCAGCATCCCCATGAAGGCTCACTATTGACTGTCATTCAAGTCTCAGAGTATCTGATGTCCTCATTTGGCCTCCAAGGCACCAGCACACATATGGTGCACAGGCATACATGTAGGCAAAACATCATACTCATAAAACTAGTAAGAGGCTGTTTATTTGGCTTTTGGCCACCCAGACTCCCAAAATAACCACACAGAAACTGTATTAATTAAATCACTGCTCAGTCAATTACTATACTATATTTCAACTGGCAAGGTTTTAGCTAACAGCTTGCATCTTTCCCCACTGGTGGCTACATGGTGTCTCCTGACTCCGCCTTCTTTTTTCCAGCATTTAGTTTAATTTCCCTGCCTAGCTCTACGCTATCCTATCACAGGCCGAGGCAGATGTTTTATTCATTAACTAATAAAAGCAACACATAGATGAAGGAATTTCCACACCATTTCTCCTTTTCTGTTTAAATAAAAAAGAAGGTTTTAACTTTACCATAGTAAAACATATGTATATATAACATATAACAAAACAGATATCAAGTAAGAATTAAATTTACAATATTTATATTGATTTTATCTTTTATCATAACTAAGGGAAACTATAACTATCTATTCTTCAACTCCGTCAAAGACGGCAGAAGGATATAATATTACCTAAGTTAACAGGAAGTGCATTGTAAGTAACTTTTAAAACTCTAAAATTAATGGAGACATCTCACTGCCTGGAAAGTCACCCAAAGTTTTTTTGTATCTTTGGAGCATCCATCTTTAACCTACAGGCCCATAGTATCCAGTAGATTTTTCCATGAAGCAGGAAATTTGAAGATCAGTTTTGCCTTATAATGACAAAGTCCATTAGTTGGCTTTGAGTGTGTGTATTTGTGTGTGTGTCCTGAAGAATGTATGACAGACTCTTTCATGAAGCAGGAACCCTGAAGGACTGTTTTACCTTCTTTAGGAAACTTTAGTAGTCATTTTTTGTGTGGGTTCTTCATGTCAAGTTTATACAGCATAACAGCAAGCAGTCCAGGCAAGAGCAGTTTCTTACCCAAATGGCTAACAAACTCCCTGAAAAACCTCTTTGATGCCCATCATCCTCTTGAAGTAATTGGTGCTGCCAAGAACAGATGGATGTCTCATTGTCACTGTAATGCCCCATAACCATGAGAATATCTGTCAGGATTTCATGAGTCCTTTGAAGCTTGGGGAACTTTTGAATTTGAGAGTGGTTTTTTTATATTCTTTTTACACTTGCTGTGCAGTGGTGTGGTTGTAGTTCTCATGGCTAATTGTGGAAACAATGCCTTTCTAGTCTTCAATCTATCTCCTGTAGAAAAATGGGGACATAATCTAACCCTCACACAGGGAACAGTATGCAGGATAATACAACTGAAACAATGAATCAACAGTCGTGCTATCGTTGGGTGGCAGGCTATCTGTTTTGGGGGAGTTCCAGGGGAGTAATGCTTAGCTTATCCACAGAGGGTAACAGTCCAGTCTTTGGTCAGTACCAGACACACACAGCTTTGAGTTCCACATCCACTAATTACTAAGGTTTGGGGCAGATTATTTAATCTCTCATCTTTGTGAGCTTCACCTATAAAATAATATTTAGATTACATAGTGGATATAAACATTAAATTAGACTCCATTTAACTCATTCTTTATCATTGATTAGTTTTCCCTGTCATTGGTTTTTCTTTTTTTTTTTTTTGAAAAGGCAGCAGTGAAATGTATAAGCCATCCACAACATAGTACCTGTATGCTAATAAACATTTTTCATAAAGTATGTTGAGAATATAGATGCTTCTGGGGAAGAGGCTTATGAAACTGTTAAGCTATGTGGGAAGACAAGTAAACTTTGCTAGTGAGGTGTGTGCTTAGCAGCAACATTACACACAAAAATATCACATGGTGTCTGCTAAGGTTGGCCCACAGCCTCCAAATATGCCTTTTGGCCTAAGTCATTTTCAAATATTTCTTCAGGTCTGGGAGCATCTAATTGGTTCAGAATCCTGAGACCTATTTGCTCCTAGAGGGAACTATGAGGTCTTGTTTTTGTGAATGGGTGGAAGAGGGCTGTATCATTATACCTGGGCCCTTCTGGATAAGCTCAGCATGTCATCCTTGCTCTTGGTTTTTATTTTCAATCAACTATTAAGTGTGGAGAGGATTGGAGCACATTAGCATATTTTTGCATAAAATCTCCATTTCACTAATCTTTTCCTTTCTGCTCTGATAGGATATTAAGTAGCTACCTATATTAACAAAATATAGCTTTAAAACCTTAGATGTCCACATGGTCACCCTTAATTAGGATGGCATTATTCTTGTCTGGTCTCTGTTTAAACACTTACTACCAATTAGTTGATTGGTGGCTGATTAAGTCACTCAAATCCATGCCACTAATCAAAAGTGGATTCTAGTAAGAATTCATGAAATCTTGTAAGACTAGAAATCAAGGAGGGTTGGGAACTAGTGTAGCCAGTGTTGCCTGGGGAAGGCACGGCCCTGGTGCCGGGCAGTTGGTGAGCCTCTGAGGCAGCAAGTCCTCTTCTGAAGAGACTGGAACAGTACCTCTGTAAATGGAGATAGCTCGAACATTTTCCAGCCGCCCAGACCCAAATAATCACACAGAAACTGTATTAATTACAACACCGTTTGGCCAATGGCTCAAGCATATTCCTAGCTCGCTCTTATATCTTAAAAATAACCCATTTCTATTAATCTATGTATCACCACGAGGCTGTGACCTCCCAATAAGGTTCCCAAAGCGTCTTTCTCCCTTGGCAGCTATATGGCATTTCCCTGACTCCGCCCACTCTCTCTATATATATATCTCTGTTCGGATTTTCCGCCTAGCTTTGCTCTGATAAGCCTTGGCTGAAACAGCTTTATTCATTAGCCAACAAAAGCAACACGTATACAGAAGGACCTCCCACATCATCCCTCAGCCTATCCAGTGCCAGACACATGTACAGAAGGACCTCCCACATCATCCCTCAGCCTATCCAGTGCCGGACAGATCCTGTTCTCCAAACTCTTCAGTGAACTGTGGGCTTCTTATCCCAAAGTAAGGTCTTGATGCCTGACTTCAGGGTACAGGCTCCTGATAATTATACCCAGGTTAGACGAGGGTTGCCATAAATTACATTCCCTTTCAGCTGGGTGAGCATTCCTAAGAACCAGTGGGTTGCATGTATTCTACCAGCTCTCGTGTGCAAGTCTGAAATGAACATTGTTACCTCATGCTTAGGGCCAGATCTCCGCCCATGGTAGTGGTGACTGTTCTTATCTGCTGGCCTGTGAGTGCAAGGAGTTCAAAGTGCCCAAGCACTTGGATCACTAGAACTCTTGGTACACGTCGTCACGAAACACTTTGATTATCCTTTAATATCAGGAACCTTAACCTTTGAGAACCCAGAGTTCCCTGGAAGGAGATCCCTGTGTGTCAATGGTGGTGGAGGCAAGTGGAGCCATCTTTCTCAAACGCACTATTGTTTGAAAATAGTTTAGGGATGCTCCTCTAGTGTTCTTGTGTTGGAAACTTAGTCCTCAGCGTGAT